CCCCAAAACCCCAAAACCCCAAAACCCCATATAAGCGTCTGAGAGTTGACTATAATAATTAATAAATATGAGAGCATTACCGAAGTGCAAAACTGCTGAAGACTGCGATAAGATCGCTTACATTGTTAGAAAGACACCTGAAAACTTTCTCAAACAAGACATATTCACCTGTGCAACTTGCATGACATCCCTGTACTCAGCTGAGCACTGTGAGTTGATCCCAGACATTGACTCAGTCGTAGAGTGTCTCGAACATGGTAAGCAATCATGGATATAGCCAAGAGGAGTATCATTAGGCTTCTCAAATTACCAGTTTCAGTCTTTAATGAGTCTATTCTTTCATTGTATCGCATACCCCATTTCTTCTTTCTTATGATTGGGTTTACAGTTTCAGAGTTAAAAGTTTGTTTTGAAGGGTCTGACTAAACAACATAGTCAAGTTCAACCTCAACAGAATCAGCTCTTTTAAAGACCAGTTCGGCCTCGAAGAAGCCTGGGACGGACTCATCATTGTGCTGGACAAGTTCAAAGAAGACTATGACCAATTCAGAGGTAAGTGGGGCTTTGTTTATGATCTGTACATTGTATTGATCCTTTACTGTTTGATCGATGACGCAATTTTTAAATTTGAAAGTTTATATGAGAATGTAAGAAATTGTCAGTGTTTATCTAATAAATGTCCATATATTGATTGAGACAAGACTAGTTTTGATAGCCAATGCTTCATCATATTAGTCTGCTATTTAAGCGATATGTTTACAAGCTAATCTGGGTGACAATTCTTTGGAAATACGAAAGTGGTATTTTATACCAATTCTCCAAATTTACATCCTTTAAAACAAACATTTATGTACATTGATGAATCTTTAATCCTTCTCACTCTTCATGTAGCAAGACTTGAAAGCATCTGCGACCACAAGCAATGGGAGCTGCTCACCCAGTTTCAGACAGACGCCAGACATTTTCTGAACCAAATCTTCGATTCAGACCTGATGAAGAGCTTCACAAGGCAGCTTCAATTCAGGAGCTACAAAGAAGTAAAGCTGGGAGTGTCGTTCGAAGGCGGAGACTCGCAGGCGCGCTTGAGAGTCAAACTCGAAGAACAAAGACAAACCATGAAGACTCAGGAGATCCTTCCTTTACGAGAGGAACTGAAGAATGCGAGTGAGAGGCTGGCCGAGGGAGAAGCCTTGAAGGAAAGGCTGAGCCAGGAGAAGACAGAACTAGACGAGAGAGTCCAGACTCTAGTTCAGGAGAAGGACGACTTGATATAAGCCAACATGAGCAAAGCTCCATTCAAAGCCAGCAACAAATCCAAGAACTCAACACTAGAATTCAAACTCTCACCGAAGAAGACAACAACAGGAATGCCCAGTTCGAAGAAATGAAGACTCAGATCACTAATCTTGAGGCTTGTCTTGGGGAAGCCAAGTACACTTTGTCGCATCCTGAACTTAAAATGATTCTTGACTCCATCTGAAAGGGAAACTACACCTTCAATGATTCAGCAAACTTCACATTTAGTTTGGGCAATGCATCGAACCAAAATGCTCTGAAAGCTCTGCAACTGTTCAGACTGCCTAGTCTCAACCAGATCCATTTGAACTACGTCGACTCATTCAACAACCCCGAAGGGGTGACCAACTTCATGGCCAACGCCTTCCGCCCAGCAGCAGGCGAGCAGTGGTAAGCACAAAGTGACCTTTAGGAGCAGAGTCAACCAGTTTGTGTTCAGCAATGCAGGCAGTGACTGGACAAAGGAGGTGGGGCCGTACATTCCTGCTCTTAAGAAAGTTTTCCCTCTCATCAGAGACCAATGTTATTTGTATTACTTGAAGCTGACCAAGACTGAGTTTGAAGACTTGGTTGTGGCAGCCAAACACTGCAAGACTATCAAGATGGGTAATTGCAACATTGAAACTGATGAGGAAGTTGGCTTTGGTGACAGACTTGATGACTCTACATTTACAAAGCTAGATTTTGATTATCTTGGACATAATACTTGTAGCAACTGGAAACAAAATGGGTTCAACAGATTCAAGAACATCATCAAAGGACTGGCCAAAGTCTATCAAGTAAAGAACAAACAGATTGCTATTACACTCAGTAATTGTGACTTGAGCAAAGACTTGGCTGAGTCTGTGTTACAAGACCATGGAATGACCAACATGACAATCGAAGGACTCTAGATTGGATAAATGATAAATTTCAATTTATTTTTCTCCCTCTGGGGTTTTGGGGTTTTGGGGTTTTGGGG